GTGACGGTGCGAGTCTTACGTTGACTGCACGTCACCCCACGTGGAGAGTGAAAGCTCCCTATAAAACAGTCAAAAGTGCAACTAAATCCAGCTGAAGATTTAGGCATTTCTATAACTGCCATTTCTCCTCTGATGCTTTTTTAACTACGTATAGTAATATATGATGACTGACGCAACTCAATTCTTACTCCCTTTCACGGCACAAGGACAAAGCTAGCTTCAGTAAAAGAACCTAAAACTGTCTCTGTAACACCCCAAATGCCAAAAGACTAACTTTGTGCATAGCTTACAAAATAAGAAATGTTAGCAAAATGAGACATGGATGTTGATTACAATTATAAATTATTACAATTAATTGCAATTATACATTATTAGTGTCTCTGCCGTCCCCCGGAAGGTCAGCTTGCTTACTGAACGTTTTCAGGCGAGTTTACCACATCAAGCACACGGAGGCTGTGAAGATGCCTTCCTAGCAGCAGGAGGAGAGGATAAACGCTTCATTAGCAGCATATTTACTTGCAGAAGGCATCCCTCCGCTATTCAGTGCAGCCATCTTTCCTCCATTGACTTTTCAGACAAATTACTGATAACTCACCTAATGTTATGACAGAGTCAAACTTGATTCTTCACTTTCCACATCATTTTAAGCATCCCAGCTAAAGCCTGCAATGAATTAAAGACCGTCTCTCCGCTTACAGAAGTGAAAACATGAGTGCTCAGAGTCCAGCCGCTTTGCTGCTCATCTTCATAACCAGGGCAGCTTCCTGTGTGTCAAAAATATGTCCTCTTTATTTCCCTTTAAAGTGATTTGCCAGTCCTAAGATACCCTTAAAACACATTTTTATTCACTGTAGATCAAGAATCTTATTCCTTTGCTTCTCTTTAATTAGAATGAGAGCAGACCCCGATCCATACAGGCCCTGCTGCCTGCACGGGTAGTGTACCAGCGACTCTGAGCAGCCTTACGTGCAATGTATGGGAGGGTGCGATGTTTGTGCTTTGCGATACTTAGCTTTTTAAGCAAAGATACTGCAGACGCAGACAAAATAATTTAAGTATGGGATTAAGCAGAGTTTTAATCAACTCACAGGACAAGACAAAAAGGACTTGAAGGTCTGGAAAGGGAGGTGTAATATTATAACCTGGGAAAGCAGAAATGCAGATAGCTGGCAACTGCATAATTGTATGCACCAAAACGCGGATGCAAGAAGCATTTCACACCCATCCAAGCCCTGGCCGCTAATGTGAATTGGACGTGTTGCGCATATATTTCACCTGTAGCCTTTTCAAATGCGGGCCAAAGTGATCTCAGAAATGCATAGGCCATTCATTTTACAGATCATTATTTTAGCTACAGATAAATTAATTGCTACCAGGAATGGTTTAAATCCTCCTTATTCAGAAGGGATAAATTCCTGCAGAGGTAGGAAGAAACTTGGCTGAAGCGTTGAGCTGGTTGGAGGACTCGCATTGTAGAAGCTGTGCACAGTCAGACTGCGTGGGGTGAATGAGCAGTGTTTGCCAGTGCGGGTGTGAGGAATGCGGAGACGCAGGAGGATATAAACTGTGGGACAGGAGGGTGACCTGCCCTTCGTCAGGGTCAGCTGAGCCCACTGCCAGCAGTTCATGACGCAGCCTGGAGAAGAACCAGGGTTAAAAAGATGGAAAGAAAAGGGAAAAAAAGTCCTTCTTAAAATGTCCAGGCTTATCTCTTCACACTATATTTGATGTTATGACCCTTTCTAACGGTAACTTCTATCAAATTTCATTTTAAAAAACAGCAACAGATTTATGTAATTAGTCCTGGCTTTCTGAAGTTAAAAAAAAAATCATAATCCACCTACTTTCAATTAAAATCTCTCCTTCCAAGCAGTATTAAGTCACTGTGAAGACCGTAAGTATGTATGCATGGAACTTCTTTTAGTCACCCGGATGTCTTTGGTATCATCATGCCTAAATATGAAGCCTGATTATTATTTTGATTTGGGTTTTTTTTCTCTTTTTACTTTGGAGGAAGATTGTTATTATGGGTGCCTAAACTTTAGTCTTTACCTTCCAACAGACAAAAAATAACAAACAGTTATAGGAAAGTGCTCTAAAGATGGGTTTTTTTAACAGCTAGGAAGAAAAGAGAGTTTGGAAACCAAAATATCCTGGAGGCACTTTCTCCATCCATATGATATTTGATAAATTGACTTTTGCTTCCAGGGCAGGCAATCAGCTTCTTCATTAGTGTAATGATCCTTAGTCTTCTCTTCCCAAACTTAGGTGATTTGAATGAAAAATAAATTTTATGAAATGTAGCTATTAATAGTGCCAATAAACGTTAAGTTGATTACATATCACTTACAATAATGTTATCCCTCTCTACTGTAGATAAAAATATATTTATTCAGCATTCTTAAGATCAAATATCCTTTCTCTTTTCTTGACGAGAACAATCCAGTGTGCGGTCGAGTACCAAGGTGACTTGAAAGTTTTTCTAATGTGTAATCCCCTTTTATATTCTGTATTATGTATGAACTTAAAGATAAAATATCTGCATTATCTTAAATAAACTAGGTAAAATGTATTTCAAAAAGTTTCTTGAGTCAAAAAGTAGCAAATCATTGTATGTATTTTCCATATTTGTATAGGTTTCATTATATTCTCATTCTAAGTTACTCTTAAGTCTCTTTCATATTTAAAAAATGAACTACACACCTATCATGCAAAATGTAAAGAAGTATGTTCAACTAGTTCAAATTAGATATACAGTAAAAATACACTTCCAAAGAAATATCATTTCCATTTTTGTTCATGTTTTTAACAGAATTTCAGACTAATACATCAAATGTGGAACTGTACAAGTATGTGAAGAAACATTAGGATTGCAGTAGTAAAAAAATGTACAGCATTCAAAACCAACAAGCTCTAAACAACCAAACAATACCACAGGATTGAAACAATCATGGGGACAACATAGGTCATTGGAGCCAGTGAGCGAATCCTAATGCACCTACATAAAGACCCTACATAGAATATTGTCTCTTATTTATATGCAAAATCCCTGATTTGATTAAACCAGACAATTTCTCTAATTGTCTCTTATAGGTTTTAGATAAGATTAACACGAGAGTATTCCCCTTCATAAATGTCAGTTATTCGAAAAGGCAATATTGAGAATTGACTTGCAAGGTATTTCCATCCACGTGGATTCAAGTAGTTAAAATACAAGATCACAAATGATAGCCGCAATTTTAAAGAACCATTTGAATTGTTATCTGCTACATTTGCCGTAACATTTAAGAATTCAGGATTCAGTTTTTTAGAACTGTTTACAGGTTAATACACGGGGTTTTTAATTACGGGCTGTATCCATTTAACAGTGGACCAACATTGCCTTTTAAATTAAGAAAAGATCCAGCTAAGCATGTCAAAAAAAATAAAATCTCCAAGGTAATTGACAATGAACAAAACATTACATACAGCAGAACCTCTGTGTCCGAGTATCTTTGAAAGGCAGATATGTACTCTTTTACAGTCCACTAACCAGCACAATTTCCTTATTAGACATTTATAGTATGAGGAAAAATGTCTTGGACAAACCTGCAATAGTTATTCTTTAAACCCAAATTATCTTTTTTAATGTTTCATCGTTGTGCGTAAACTTAATGAACTATGCTAGCCTATTGGTTTTAGTGACCAGAACATAACCCCTTTCACAGATCTTAGCTAGTTATGATTTTTTAGGGCTATCTTGCTTTTCAGATAACTCACCTGTGGGGTTTTTTAAGCTGAAGTGTAAAAAAGGTTAATAAATGACCTAATTATGTCGGCATTTCTATCCCACAGTCCTCATGCTCTGAGATCTCTCGCTGATCTCAATAGGAATTTGGCTTGCACAAGAATGGCAAATTTTCAGCTGAGAAAGCTGAATAAATGTAGCGCTTTTAAAACCAAAACATTGTTACCAAAGAGTCTGGCCTACTAAATCATCTTCAATGCACTGAAAAGGGCAAAGAACACAAATCTTGGCACCTATCTTGCTGTTTATTTGGAATAATCTTTTAGCAATTTTGATCCAATGGGAACGACAGATTAGTTTTAGAGAACTAGCCACGTACAACCTAACATTTGACTGAAATAAACTGATTGTAACAGGTTTGAAAAGGAACAACCATATGCATCTTATGCACCACTCGAAATCTATAAAACTACTGGGCAAACAGCATAGTGTATACTCGTTCTTATACATATTTAAACTTTGCTGAGGTATTTCTTTAATTACAGAAAAGCATCTTTAAAAACAATAGGAAAACAACTCAAAATATGAGTTATATTCTGCACAGATTTTTTTGGGAGAAGGAATTAAATTGTATGGAAAGGTCCGTAATCATTAAAGGAGTAACCACTTTTATTAGTATCGATAATATCATAGTCTTCCTTGGCTTTTTATTCCTTCAAAGCATTACAAAAAATGTAAGGCTGTGACTTTATAAAACATAAATTTGCCTTGACTTTGCCCACCAGTGTTGTAAAATAACCTGAAATACTTCTGTCTTTTTGCTAGGGAAAATATTACCCAGTGCCACCTCTGGAATGGACTGATCGTGGCCACACAGCTGTCGGATACCCGCTTGCCTCCTCCACGACATGGGACAAGCCATCTCTTGCACAAAGCAAGATTGTTTTCATAAATGCTTGCTCAAGTCAAGTTTCTTTTACGCAGCAAAATTAACTATAGTTTGTCTGTTTGAATTTTAACATTGTCTGGTAATTTCTACCTGCAACTAATGGTTATTTATTTCTCTATAATGAAGATACCTAGAGTGTTGTACAAGCTGGATTTCTCACCCATATGTACTTCAGGAACAGGAGGAATGTATACATCATATTTAGAGTTTATCTTAGGCAGATACTGTGTTTGAAGTGCAGTTTTCTAATCCTTTTAAATACAATCAGCCTATCTTGATTGTGACACTAATGTTAAATGTAACTGCAGCCATTACCAAGTAGTTTCCATAAGTGGTTTTATTACTGGTTAGATTTTACAAATTCTGGTATTCGAACAGACTTCGACCTTAAAATTCTAAAACAACAAAGCAACCAATGAAAGGCTTAGGACTATTCAAAGTAACAAACTCTTAACATTTTTGCCCTGGTCATAAATATACAGAGAGAAAAAGAGAGAAGTGGACATGGAATCCAAAGAATGTAGATAAAACAGTATATAAGGCACATGGCAGTCTTTGAAAATACAGAAGCTTTAGCCAACTTAAATTAATTGCTGTTTCCCTTGCTCAGTCCACAAAACTGTACAGTTACACAAATGTTGTGTTGCAATAGATCTTCCAAGTTATTCTTCAGTCCATACTCCGTAATACCAGAACACTACATTTCCTTCTGTTTTTTAGGAGAGATCCTAATTGTGGTTAGTCAGTTGCTCAAAGCCTCTATTAAAATACACTTGGAATTTCAACTAAGAATAATTTCTTTTTTAAAGAAATTATTAAGAAAGAGTCATCAGAAAAGATTTGTAAGAGTTGTCTGTGAAGGACTTCGAGATTCATGAACCTCAAGACTTCCGGGCACTGATGTCAAGACAGATGTCACAGTAGGCATAGTAGGATTAGTCAAGTCCGTTAAAGTAGTGGGAGTGCTGGATGGACTCATGGAGGCATTGGATATTTCTGAGGCAGGACCTGATGGGGTCCCTGCTTGGAGTGTTGAGTCTGAAGTCTTATCCACCCCTGTGTTTTCTTGACGTAAGAGGTTCCGTCTGAATTTGGCTCGAGCATTTTGAAACCAAACCTGAAATAGTTTAATATAACAGGGTAGCATTTAAAGAGCTGCAGTGTTTAAAAAAGCAAAAGCATACTCACAAATTCACCAACGCTTGAATTGTGGAAGATTTTTTTACTGGTAACATGTTAGAAAAGTAGCCCCAGTCCTGAGAAGTGTCCTCTGCCCACCTGTAAAGCGTTCCTCTTTCCCTCTCCTGCAATCCTGTATAAGCAGTCTGCCTGGGACAGGAGTGGACTAAGGATGAAGGAGGGGAGTCTCTCTGTGCCGGCTACGTATAAAGATGCTTAGAAATTTGGCAGCCTGCATGAATCCTCAATTGCCCTCAATCCCAGAAGTATTTGTCTGGATGAGGCAGGCATCATGCATCTGACGAATATAAGATAACAAGTTTCGGCACCCTCGTATCTCAAGTCCATCTCCCATCATAAGCAGCAAGTGACACAGCCCACAGCACCCTGCCTTTCTGCGGCCCTGAGAGCTCTCCCAGGAACGTTCCTGTGTCTCCATGTCAGCAGTGCTCTCACTTTTCTAAAAGGACTGTCCCTCTTTCTCACTCTTCTTTCTCAAATGCTTCAGCTCCCTTCACCTATGCCAGTCTCCTTTTCCAAATGTTTTCAGTACTGGAATGATGTCGGGAAAAGAGGCTTGAATGGTATTAGAGACCCACATTGCATTAAAACCTGTCATTTCAGTAGGAATTATATCCACATTCAGAAATCTTTCCAAGATTGCTGCTTCTTGCATTATTTGATTATTATCTCTGAGTGAAGGACAAAAAGCTACGGCTTCATCTTTCTCAGTTAAATTTCAGTGTTCAGGTCCAAGATAATAATGCTCTCCACTGCCTGCAGGATTTGTTTAAAGATAAAATATTTTTCTGACCTTTTTGAAAATAGATTAAAAAAAATGTGTTTGTGAAACTTGCATGAAACCTAGGTACCATATATTACTTTGACTAAATTTGAAAATGTCATTAAATACCCTGCGTTCAAACTGATATATGTTGATACCAGGTAATTTTACTACTACAAACTAGCTGAAATTTCATTGTGCTTATTTATCCAAAGGCCTTCTGTCATTGTTACATTCTTTACAATGGACTCAATCCTGATCCTACTGTCCTCACGTTGACCTGCTATAAGGAGTAGGACTGAGTCTTTCCATTCCAGATGCAATGAACCTTGTCGTTTCTGTATCTGTCGGAGAAATGAACCGAGCAAGTGAAAGGATCTGCATAGCCGTACGGTATCTCCATCAGATTTCTCCTCTGTGTCCTGTACAGGGAAACTGAGTGCATGGAGCTCACGAGGCCACGCCAACCTGTACAGAAATTCTGACCTCTGCCTCTGAAACAGCATGGCCCCTGCCGTAGGATCCGCTTTAAGCCAGACCGCTAACAGAGGGGCGATTTGTAAATACGAGCAGTCCTGTAAGGCGTTCTCTTTGCACTCTCAGCTTGCCAGCCGCAGTTAGAACTGATGAACATGTCTCAGCTGGTTTCCCTCTGACTGGTTTTCTTCTCATCTATGGATGGTCCAGACCCAAATTCCCCCTATTGAGCACTCTTACTTTTTCTCTGGAAAGCTTCCTCCCCCAACCAAGGGTCTTTAAGGTGCGCACCCTCTCTGTTGCACTCTCTCCAGGGAATACCACGAGAAAATAATCCTCAGGCACAAATGCTAGCAGTGGCCATAGGAGCTGCATTCACAGGCCATGCATAAATCACATCCCTACAGGTCCTTGTTTCTGAAAGCTTAGTATTTTAAAACAGTTTATGTTGGCATTCCCTTTGTTAAAACACTTAGTTTAAAGGCTATATATCAGTTTCATATATGACAAGAAAACAAAAATCTCCTAAACTAGCACTGGCAAAAATATGATTTTATAACATAGTCCATTATAGTGGTAAACCTGTTAAAGGACAGCGATGTTGTCAAAACCAGGCAAAAACAAACGTGATATTTTTGCCTGGCACATTCACAACCAGTGTCCTCTCATACGACTGTTCATTCAGAGCCACGCAAGAAGGGAGGCACGGAAGTGTGTGTGCGTGGTTCTGAGCAAGGCAAGGAGCCTCGCGTGCACGGGATGCAAGCGAAGAAAATCAGTTTGTTCTGGTCATTCAAGCCGCAAAGTCTCAAGCGCCGACTAGGTAGGAATGGTAACTATCAGCAATTTGAACATTTGTGGGATTTTTTTACCTTTCAGTAAGAGATAATTTATATTTGTCCCACAAATTAATTTGGTTTTGATTTTTTTAATATACCTTCTAGCAATTGTAAAAAGGATAATACATACGAAGGTGAAATGGAAGTTTAGATTCTGCCAGTGTTGACATGTATGTGTACCATGGTTACGTAATAATTAAAACAAAACCACTAGTCCAGTTGCATATACACATACTTCTGCATAATTTCACACTTACGTTCATTAAAAATATACATATTTATATATGCAGTAGCCCCAAATATGAGTAAGATTTCCATTCCTAGTCACAAAACAATTTTCTTGCTTAAAGCGTGTAAAACTGTAGAAGGCACCATAACTATTTTGTTCATTTACGTTGCTCCTAAAAGTCCAATGGCTCCTTAACCTTAGTAGGGCGAGAGACTCTATGGTATTGCTTCTGTTTGTGATTTGAAACATGCAGGATGTAAAGAAAAGTGAGCAAGATTATTGGTGCTTACGTGCTCCCCTTTACCTCCCATTAAATATGAAAACCTGTGCTCAGGTGCCCTCACCGCTGACCGTTAATGCTGCTTTCAGTAGCCATGCCTATAAGATGGTTCATTCTCTCTTTAATAGTGGTAATTCATGTTAGACATAGAAAACATTCCATAATCTTGTAAAAGTATTATTCAAAAATAGAGATAGTATGACTACTTTCACTTTCTTCCTCACTGAGATATTGTCACGGTTAATCAGCTAATGGTTATAAAGCTCTTTAAAATTGTCCAGTAATAAGTATTCATGTTACTACTGAAAAGGCATCTAAATATTTGTTAACTGAAATTCTGAAAATACCTCGTCTCATGATAGAAAGGGATACCGTAGAATAATCACCACAACAGTGATATTCTGGTATGCGCTTAAGATATGAAAGTATTCCACAAAGACTTTGTTTTGAAGACTAGTGAAAACATTAAAACTATTGGTTTCTGAGTTGTAGGGACGTAGGCCTGCTTCTCTGCTGCCCCACGTTATTACTTATAGCTGTGCAAAGCAGCGGGCAAGAGCGGGCAAGTCAGGGCTGCCCACGCGTAACGGCAGTAGTGCTGTACGCTCACATGGGCAATGCAGGCCCTGCACCTGTAACGGTATTACGGTAAAGTAAAGACATAATAACCCAGACATATGTAACTGAAAGAATTGCTCCAGAAGGACTTATCTCACATCAATTACACAATTAGGAATCTGGTCGTCAGTACTGAGGAATAAACAAAATCATTAGGAAGTATTTAGTGGGTTTCTGTCCAGCTGTATCATTATAAGGCTGAGCTATTTCAAATCAAAGGGGAAAATATGGACCAGAACTCCCCAAAACTCTCAAAAATAAAAGCAGCTGCGAGACCCACCATCGATGCTACCACATTCTGGTTAGCAGGGCTGGATGCCTGCAGCTGGACAACTCAGCAGCTAGGCAGAATAATATTTACTGTGATTAAAATATTATACTATCTCTTCGGTGATCTGTGCAGCTAACTCTTTGTCTCCAAGTAAAATAGGAATAAAATAACATCTCCATATGATTGGAAAGTATTGAAAATAAATACGCTAAGTATTGTAAAGGACTCTGATACTGCAGTGAATGAGATCATCTAATCACCTTAGATAACTATTTTCTTGTTTGTAACACCTCCATTGTTGCAAGTATTGTATATTAGTTGTATGAGTAGCTTGTGCTAGAAACAGTTTTGCTCATTCACACAGCTACCTGGAGATATTTAGGTTTACTGAATTTTACTGACTAGTAAGTAGAGAAACAAAAATATAAAGGATGTTGCACCATAAAGCAAACTATGTTCGCTCATTGCACGCACATTCTGATTACTCTGTTGTAATTATGAAACACACAGTTAAAGGGGAACGGTGGGGTCTGTTACGAGCGGGGGCTCGGTAAAGAGTCTGCAGTATGCTATCCTAAAGCAAATCTTCACCGCAAGGTAGCGCAGGGTACCCACGCACGATTGTGGAAATTTTCATACTTGTTGACTACTGGAAACTGAATTAGCAAAGTCCAAATGCATTCAGCAATGTTTGTAGGGTTTTCATAGCAACTTTACTGGGGAGCGATTCAAGAAAGAGCAAGCAGTGTACAAGACACCACTGAAAAATAACACCTTATGTTCCTAAACTGCTTTTGCCATGGATACTCACATTCCAGACTCCCGGGGAGAGAAGAGGTACATACCTATAGCTAGCAAACCATATCTTCTTAGGGCTAACTACTACCACCTTCCCTTTCTAAACTCACAAAAAGAAAGACCAGTTCCCGGAAGAGGAATATTTATGCCAGTTAGTTAGCTGACAATTAGCTGGTCACTTTAATGATGAATGATAGCTTACAATGATGGGCTTGTGCTCCCCAGCTGCAGTACAAGAAGTACATGAATTAAATTGCAAATATACAGCTAAACTGGAATGAAAATAAATAAATATAGGAGTTAAAAATATAAATAGGTTGACTGTGATTCTAATGTGGCTACTTATGGAAAACAGTTTGCATTACAAAGCCACTGAAGGAAATGTAATTTATGAAGCAGTGTGTTACACTTCTGTGCCATTCCACTTCTGGACATGTGTAGCTGATGGCTAATTGTATATAAAGCAAAGAGAGAAGTCAGGTCTTCCAAACCTGATATCACAGATCATTAAGAATATGGCCAAATTCTCCACTCATCTACAAACAAAGCACCCTCATTACATGTTATGTGGGACTGTCTATGTAGTAAGGGTGCTACAGCTGTTTCCTAAATCACTAGGAACTCTACTACCTGTGTTTAGGAAGTGCACTGGTTTCAGAACAAGAGAATCTCTTTCTCCTGATCTGCTGCCTTATATTTTCTATTAAAATATATTCTATTGATTATATACAAAGAGCCACAATCCTTCATCAACTGAACTGAGATCTGAACATACGGAAAATACAACAGCTTACAAACACACCTGATAACAACATAGGGAATGTGGAAGATTTCTTACTACTGACAAGTGTGCATGTACGTCTGGGAGTCCGTGCGCCTTCGGTATGTAAGACAGACTAATACTAATGATGCTTGTTTAGATCAATAGTGTCAGTGCATTACTTCGTGTTCAATAAATGACACAGATAGAATGCCAACCTTTCTGGCTCAAAAGAATTAACAAGTGACACTATCTCAGTAACCAACATCATGAAGAGTTTTCCCCAGCAAAGAGCAACCCTGAAACTCCTGTAGGTGAACTTCAGTGTTTGAAAAATTGCCTCTCACAGGTTAGAGAGAAACTAATTGGGCATGAAGCTTCTAAAATCCAAAAAACAAGTTTGTTTTTTTGTGACCCAAATTAATTTTCAAAGAAAAAGTTAAGAGAGCATGGAGTAGAGGGTGCTCATAACAGACAGGAAAACTCAAGTGATACTAGCCAAAGTATCACTCTGAGTCCTTTTCTTGAAGTGCCTCCAACAGCATCATCCTCTGGGTGCAATCCTCACCACCTTCCACCTCTAAAATTTAAAAATTTTACCTTCCACCTCTCTTCAGCTAAAGGAGCCCAGATATAAAGGAGTATTTAACTGTGAAAGTAAAAGAATTTGAACGCCAATTACCAAAAAGATTTAAAAAGTTTAGTGGAATTGTAAGGGATTGCTGCAAAAAAGAGGAACCACGAAGCACCTTAGAACTGCAAGATGCGGTATGTTTAAGATGGAAACAGAAGCAATGAAGAAACTGAAAAAGGGATTGAGGTGTAGTGGAGACATAGAGTCCAATTTTGGAGACAAGGAAATACATTCTGAAAAGGAAGGAAGAAACAGAGACAATAACATGGAAAAAAGATGGAAGGAAAGACCCACGAGGTGAGAAGAGAAGAGAGAGATGGGAGTCAGAGCTGGTGTGCAGTGAGGAGAGAGAACAGAAAGATGATCAAGAGAAAGACACTTTGTAGACACTGATCTCATTTCTTAATGCACTATGTGACATTTCTCAGATAATTCACGTCTGAGTGCACTGTAATGGACAGAATAGATATTACTGAAGTGTGTAAACTCTGAGGGTAAAATAAAGGAGAAGTGTCAAAATAAGAATAGACAAATGCAGTAAATGATTTCGCCCACGTGCATGGATAAAGGACAGCTGCTATGCTATACTATGTCAAGTGTTAGGATATGCACTAGTTATATCAGAGGAATCTGTTCCACCACCACAAATCAGTCTCATAAAAACAACAAAAAAATCCAACTATGGAGGATGTAGCCAAGAGAAGTAATTACATACGGTTTTCCATTAGCAGCTTTTAACTGGGGAGCCTGCAAAACCTTTATTCCTTCTTCTGTTGGGTATTAACGCTGTAAGGTCCAGAATCTCTCCAGTGAGTTCTGTTTTTCTCAATATTTTTGCCTACTGCCCTCCACTTGCCTATGAATTTGCAAGAGCTGTCCACGATGCTTTCCCAGGAGTCTGTCTCTGAGCCCTGCCTGTCTCTATGAAGCTCAGAAACCATTTTCCTACAATTAAGACCCATTTAAAAATTTCAGCAATAGATCCTGGAATGCCCAAATTTATCTCTAGGTATAGCTATTTGGATAAGTGCCCATTAAAAGTGACTTCTTGAATCAGAACTATAAATTAAAATGGAGCTGAATCAACTGATATTCTCACCTTTGCTTCCCATAATAGTTCAAGTGGAGTGTATATCCTTGGAGCAAGAAAAATCCAGCTTTCAGAGAAAAAGTACTTTTAAAATGCAGTCTCCTTTCATTCTAAGTTACTAAACTACGAATAAAAAATTAATCTTTGAAAAATTAAATTTATGTCCACTTCAGTTATGAAAGAAAGGATATCCTCCTTGTCCTGATAAAATAAATTCAAACTGCTGATTAATTTCTTACAAATGTAAACATTCACAGCAATTTCTAAATTAAGAGCTCTCTATTTACAGTGAACGCACTAAGTAAAATAATTCACTTTTTCTTACAGCAGATTGGAAGCTAAAACATGCACCAGAATTAACTAACTACAGGAAAACAAGCAGGGCCCCAAACCTTCACGACTGTCATTAAAAATTAGAACCCAAGCGATCTAATTTTGGAAAGCTGGAAAGCAATAACTTCTCTCATACTTTCTAGGATTTAACTGAAGTCTCAGAGAAGGTATGAATGATTAAGAAAAGCTTGAAAGTCAGCAAAATCCATGGCATTTCAAATATAAAGTTGATATTTTATTTACTTTTCAAGACAAAAGACTGCTCTTCTTACCTGAAGAACTCTTTTGGTCAGGCCGGTTTTCTGAGCTAGCTGTTTCAAGTCCTTGGCATCAGGATTGTGGTTAATAGCAAAGTATGACTTCATTGTCCGCAACTGGTGGTGTTTGAATGATGTCCTCATACGCTTTGTTTTCTGATTGCTGGGGTATTGCTGGTCTCTATCCAGGTGGTCACCATCGTTTTCATTGCAACTTAAAGCTTAAGGCAACAGGAGGAAAAGGCGTGTAAATCTATTGCTCTGTGACCAACATTGTTTGCAGTTCATCTGAGTGCAGCAATTAAAATAACATACCATGGCATGTATTGTACTGGTACAAATCCTACTTGCCTTCCCCTCCATTTCTGCATCTTCTATTTTCCCCTTACAATAACCAGCCTGCAAGGACCCTCACCTGCCTCTTTATGGCTTTTAAAATGTCAGGTCTGTTTCCTTTTTGATTCCCTCCATCTCCACACAGCCTCTCCTCCACTTTCTGCTTGTAGGACAGTAGCTGTCCTCAACTCTGTAAAGCGTTTTAATGTACTTTGTATCACTATAAATTGCATTGTAACGTACAAAGCAAGCTGTACAATACAGTCCACTTAAATCTCGATGGAACAGACCAGTTAAAATTATAATTATTTCCTCCATCAAACTAAACCCTGTAGAGTACAAGAGAGACCATTAAATGAAACACTATAAAAGAAATAAAGTTTGTGGGTACCAGACAGCAAATTATGACTATAATTTGACTAGCTGAAGAAATGAAGCTGTTAATACAATGTATCACTGGCATGCCAAAGGAAAAAGATCTTTTTAATTATTTATATGTTTATATTTCCTTTTTTTAAAAAGTATTTGCAAATACTAGTTTGAATCATCAATTCTGTTATATCCTTTTGAAATCACTGAATGACACTGATTGATACATTTGCATAAATCAACCGTAAAGCCTGCGAAGGAGGTCTGTGAGCAAGAAACATTATAATAATTATCAAGTAGTATTAAATGTTGAGTGCCAAGCAAAATAATGTCATAGATAAAAAGTAGTTTTTCATTTATTTGTGCGTACAGTAAACCATAGAAAAACTCTTAAAATAACATTAAGGACCAAGCTTAAAACCACTAAAAAAAATCAGGGATATAACTGAAAATTAGCTCTGACAAACTGTCATTAATTTACTTTTTCTATTCCAATATCTACAACTCCCTTTTAATTTCCTGTAAGTTTTATGTTAGAAGTGATGAAAAACCACTACTATCTCTGTTCTGTGTTGCATGCAAAAAATGAGAAAAACGCTGTATTTTAAAATGTGAATTATTGGTGAATTTCTTAAACACATAAACAGATTTGTTTTCGATTGTCCATTATTGCTGGTTCATTACAACTGAGCATATCTCATAGACACGTCTTTATAGTCTTACTTTAAATTCGTGCTAGCCATCAGAGGTTTTCAGCCCTATTGAAAACATACAAATCCTGAAAAGCATGCATTAAAAACAGTTTTAAAAAATATACATGAAATGCACACAGTCACAAGTAAAAATGCATACAGATTCTATAAAGAGCAGTTTTGCAGCATGGACAGCTGCTTTGCAAACTTCAGCTTTTCAAAAACTTCTACAACGATATGGCCCAATATAGAGCAAGGCCTGTAAAAATTCAGCCTTAAGACCAAAAGCATGTTTGTTTAATAGACACGTAGAAAGTGTCCGAAGCCTCAAACTTTTCTGTGTGTTTCTGTACTCCTATAATTTAAAAAACAGCTTAAAAAAATTGTACTGTATATATAAATGTGTATGTATGTGTGCGTGCATGTGCGTACATTTGTGTAAATCCTTTCCAGACCTAAGCATCTTGTGCCAAATTCTAGCAATAAGAAGCATTTCTGCTTGTTTTCCTGTGGCGTGGAAAGACTGGAAGCACCTGAATTTAAAAGGTATAAGATGCATAAAAGGTGACAGTAAAAATGCAATATTAATGGAGCTGGATGGAATGTAGCAAAACCTTTTTTCTGGTTTAAGAATTGAGATCTAGGTGCCAAACTGGGGTCATCCCATGTGCTCCAGTCTCCTTCATAGCTACATAGAACACTGGAATGAAAAAATGAAACTGTCTTGCTCATAGCAAATTCTATCACGGAAATGTAAAACCAAGCAGTACTTGGTTTTAAAATGTACTCACAGAACTGCAGATATTAGTAATGGAAGAGTCCTCTGTGTGTTATCCTAAATGCTTTCAAACCCTCCCAGAAATATCAAGGCAGAGACTTCGCAGGAAATGCACCAAAATATCTGTCTGAAGGACTGAGGTCTGTTCATGTTAATATGCAACAAAACGAACCCTAGGGCTGCAAGTAGCTGGATTTTAACCTGTTCCATAGAGACTGAGACACAGTCAGGATCCAAGGAAACAAAAGTGATTCTAAACCCTCCCAGAATGGAATGAGGGTATCAGCTTTTCATCAAGCCCTGACAGGACAAGGAACAATTTACTCCTTGAATTTCTCATAATTTTACCTCCTCATCTACTAAATAAAAATAGTATTAAAAAGACAGTGAACATGTACCATTTGAGAGTGGCTAACTGTTGTCCTTCTCTATGAAGAAAGTTATAGAACAGATTTTGAAAGTGCACGAGGGTGTTTGCTGTTTGTTCTCGTGCACAAGTGGTTTGGGTACCCCCAGGCATCACCCAATATGACATAAATATTCCTAGTTAGTGCCAATTCCCCTCTCGGATTTCGTTGTGGTGCTTGGCACCATCTTCAAAAGTCTATTATATTAGGTCTAATATTATATGCATCTCTCACAGAATCGGAAATGTCTATGGGCGTTGCAGGCACAGAGATACAGAACAGGCCAAGGGTGTCAGCTTGTGGAGATTTTAAGAGCTGAGGAATTTCTGCAAAAGGCATCATGGCCTAAGACTAACGCTGTACATGCTCCTCACGCAACCCTCTGTTTTTCAGGCACTTCTTCCCTGTTCCTTCGTGGTGTATCTCCCAAAGGAATTGTTGAACTATCCGTACGTAAGGTTTCCGTTCAATTGCAGTATCTAGGGCTCCTGCTGGGAGTTCAGAAATACCATTTGTAAAATTCCAGTCGAATAGAGGAGTCCTAAATTCACTCATGTTCCATTCCTATTTCATGATAAAACAAAGTCTGAAGTGGTGCCAAGTCTCTTTTTTGACCCTAGAACATTTCTAAGGCCCTTGTGCCTTTCCCCCAGTCCCCACATCCAGGCCATCGCCCTCCCGTCCTTCAGCTGGCCTCTTACAGCCCCCTCCGTTAGCACCACGATACAGACGCCCGCTTGGCCACAAGATGGTGATGTCCACAGAGAGCATCACTAGAAACTACGACTAAAACGTTGTATTTTGATACTGGTGACCAGAATACCCTCTGCAGAATAGTGCATAATACTACCTCTAAAAACAGCAACGTGAGTGTAAGGCGGGCCGTGCTGTTATCTCTGTGACAAACACTATTGGAAGAAGCAAGCTTGGGAGCAGTGTTGCACGCTCAGATCGCCAGATCCCCCACGTGTCGGGATTCGGGGCAAAGCATGTGCTTAGTAGTTAGTAGGTTGCTAAGTGTATGGCACATGAAGAAGATGGGAAAGAGGAATTTCCTTTGGGGGAACTTTTGTTCTTAGTAGCTTGTGTTTGACATGTTAAATTACCCAGAAAGAAAGCAAACTAATCCTGATTCTGAAAGAATGATGAAACAAGAGACACATTTGGTGCGTGCATCAGCTCTCTGTCTTCAGTGGCTCAGGAACACACAGCCCTTCCCTTCTGTAATAAGAGAGTCAAGGGGGTGTTTTAACCTTCTGCTGCCTGGAGAGGGAACTTGTGACTAACTAGACTAGGCAGGGGTGCAGCCTTATTTGTTGTTTGGCAGGAGTGTGTAAAGGACTTTGTGGTACCTGCATCCTTGAAGGGGGCAAAAGAGAGACAGAGCCCTCTGAACGGCACTTGGGACAGGAACAGAGACAGAGCCTTTCTCCCTGGTGGAACGAGAAGACAGGCGCCTAAAATCCTTACCACAACTGGGATTAGAAGGGGTGAAGCTGTGGCGCTTGGAGCAGGCAGAGAACCCCCCGGGCTTCTGAGGCTCCTGGCAGCACGGGAGGGAGGGCACCCTGCCAAGCCTGCGGGGCAACGGACACCGAAAGCGCTGCCTCCCCCCCGACATTTCAGAGGTGTTTCTAGGAAGAGGGAGATAAAGCCCGTCCTAAGGAGCGACTGTCTCCCAGGCTGAGCATCACAAGGCCAGGAGAGAGGAGAGCTGGGATTAGAAACCCTCTGTCCTCCGGCCTTCCTCAGCCGCCCGGGACAAAAGGGCTGCGTGTCCCGCTGCCTCCCGGGGCTGCGGGAGGGGCGGGCG